AAAGCTAGGGAATCCCGTAATCTTTTTGTTTGGTTTTGGGTTTTTTTAGATGAGTAAATGAAGCCCAGAGAGGTTGAATAACTTACCTGGGGTCACACAGCTGAGTTCTGGCTGACCCTGGAGCCCTCAGATCCCGCTAACGCTGGGCCCGGGGCTTACATTGGCCCAGGCCTCGCTATTCGGGGCCAGCTTCAGGACCGTGACTATGAATGGAGACGGAAACGTGCGCCTGCCCACGCCATCAGGGAGACCAAGAAAACTCCCCTAGAGTTGAATTAGATGCCCGGTGTCCAACAGGCCCACCCCGAGTGTAGTAGTTTTGGATTCAGACGGATATGGACTGATATCCAGACGCTGCCCCTCATGCTGTGACCTTGGAAGACTTCCCGAACCTCTCTGCGTCCGCCTCCTCACCTGCAAAGGGAGGTAGGAAGGGTACCTGCCTACTAGGACCCCTGTAGAGCTAACATGGGAAAGTGAGTGCAAAGTGCCAAACTCCCTGCTTGTAGAGGGCACTCTGTGTGTTGGTTCCTTTCTTCTTCCCTTCGAGAGGAACCCAGAGAAAGGGGCCCCGCCTGTCCTGTAGGCTCTGCGCTCCTAAAAGGCCATCGCACACTGAGATGCTATTATGATGCGTAGCAAAGAGGCAGAAAATGAAAATGTTGCCAGCCAGTCCCCTGCGAGAGTAAACCTGGTGGCCCTGACTTTGTATTTATTTTTTAATGTTTATTTATTTACTTTGAGCGAGAGTGCGAGTCGGGGAGGGGCAGAGAGAGACTCCCAAGCAGGCTCCGTACTGCCCGCGCAGAGCCCAACTCAGGGCTTGATCTCAGGAACCATGAGATCATGACCTGGGCCGAAACCCAGGGTAGGATACTTAACTGACACAGCCACCCAGGTGCCCCAGCGCTGAATTTTTAAAGGCTTTGCAGGGGGCCTCGAGTGGGGGGACCATGGAGGGGGCCAGTGGAAGGATCGTGACCCAGGACTACTGTCTCCTGTCTTCTGTGGGTTTCCCTCCTCGGCAGACAGAGTTAAAGAAAAGACGGGTTCTGCCCCAGAACTGCCTCCTAGCTCCTGGGAAGGTCAGGGTGCCATGAGAAAGGTCGTAGGTAACATCCCCCCCCCCCCCCAACTCGCCCCCACTTCCAGCCATGCCCTCAGGCATCCTCGCAGTTCTTCCACCTCCCGCTAGGGGGCAGCGTCTTCGACTATGCTCACACAGCCCAGAGGCCGACCTGCCAGCCCCAGAGGGGACTGTGCCCTAGAGTCACCAGCCAAGCAGAGCAGGGAGCCTTCTCTGCCCTCAGGAAGCTTTAGTAACAGTGCCATCTGAGGATTGGGTTTGGGAACAAGAACCAGATTAAGCAGGGGCGCCTGGGTGGCTCAGTCAGTTAAGCATCCGACTTCGGCTCAGGCCATGATCTCACGGTTTGTGGGTTCGAGACCCACATCGGGGTCTGTGCTGACAGCTCAGAGCCTGGAGCCTGCCTCAGACCGCGTCTCCCTCTCTCTCTGCTCCTCCCCCATTCACGCCCTGCCTCTCTCTCTCTCTCTCTCTCAAAAATAAATAAAAATTAAAAAAAAAAAAAGAATTAGATTAAGCAGAAGTGGAGGGCTCCTCCAGGAAATGGTCACGTAGAGGGCCAATGGCCCTTCTCCTCCCACACAAACCTCATCAGTGGCACACAGGGACATCTCCGTGGGGGAAAAGGTGGGGGGTGGGGAGAGAAATGGAACCTACTGCTTTATTTTGGCTTTTATGTTGTCAAAGTGTTAACAGAGTTTAAAATCTAATAATAATGGGGTGCCTGGGTGGCTGAGTCGGTTGAGCGTGGGACTTTGGTTCAGGTCACGATCTCCCGGTTTGTGAGTTCGAGCCCTGCCTCTGTGCCGACAGCTCAGAGCCTGGAGCCTGCTTCGGATTCTGTGTCTCCCTCTCTCTCTGCCACTCCCCCACATACACTCTGTCTCTCTCTCTCTAACATTAAATAAATGTTAACAAAGAAAAGAAAAAGAAAAATCAAATAATACTGAAAAACTCATCATGCAAAACCAGCAGCTGCGTTCCCCACCCCTCCCTTACTATACCCTCTCCCCCAAGTCCCACCTCCCCCTCATCCAGGGTTTCATCTTTGATAACTGCTTCTTCTGGGGCACTGTACTCTTTTTTTTTTTTTTTTTTTTGTAACGTTTATTTATTTTTGAGACAGAGAGCATGAGCAGGGGAGGGGCAGAGAGAGAGGGAGACACAGAACCTGAAGCAGGCTCCAGGCTCTGAGCTGTCAGAGCCCAACAACGCGGGGCTCGAACTCGTCAACCGCGAGATCATGACCTGAGCCGAAGTCGGACGATCAACCGACTGCACCACCCAGACACCCCGAACTGAATACTATTCTTACTCGATAATCTTATATTAACTCTTGAGTTATCGCTTGTAGACGTTATTAGATGCCTTCTGATTACAGCAGATGAGGATTGTGTCCTCTTACAACCCCCTTCTCCTCCCTCCAGCCTCCCAGTATAAATACATCACGGGTTTTGTTAACTCAATTAGCAAAGTTTAACCGCATGATTATGCAAATATTCCTTATTTCCAACACCACGTATTTTAACTATATTTGCGTTTCCTGCAGTCTTTATTTTTCCTGCAATTAGAAATGTTCTCGTTTTCCCGCTTTAAAGAGGGTTCCTAAATTAGAAGTTAAACTTTCTGTATGTTTTCCTCTGTTTCTGCCATGGCTTCCTGTTGGGAACGATTCTCCTGCACGTGATAAATATTTCCCGAGCATTTGCTTTTCTACCTTGGTCTGCTAGGTGTTAAGAGATACGGGAAGAAACATGGTCCTTGACCATTCTGCAGCCCAAAATTTAGTTGAGAGACAAGAGAGGTACACAGGGAAAAAAAAAAACAAACAAAACAGTGCAAGCATGTTGCCCTGCATGCTGTGTGGTGGGTGAAATTAACGGTGCCCACAGGGAATGTTCTGGAGTCAGAGGCTAGAGTCCCAAGGAAAGTTTTCTTTCACAAGGAAGGCCCGAACCGGGCTTTGAAGTCAGGTTGTAAAGCAGAGTCGAGAAGTACCAAGTAAGGAAATCCATGAAGGGTTGGTCTGTGGACCCTAAACACAGGAAGCATCTTAACAGGGCCCGGTCTCCACTTCCTCATCACGAAGGGGCAGGAAGAAGTTCATTACTGGTACTCGGCTGTGGAAGAGAAAATCCCTATTCTTAGGAAATACAGGCTGAGGTATTTAGGGGAAAAGGCTAAAATATATGCAACTTGCCCTCAAATGGTTCAGGAAGAAAAAAACACGTAGACGGTGTGTTGGTATTCCTTATGTTTTTGGGTTTTTTTTACTGTTTATTTATTTTTGAGAAAGAGAGACAGAGTGCGAGCAGGGGAAGGGCAGAGAGAGAGGGAGACACAGAATCTGAAGCAGGCTCCAGGCTCTGAGCCCATCATGGGGCTCAAACTCACGAACTATGAGACCATGACCTGAGCCAAAGTCGGACGGTTAACCCACCGAGCCACACAGGTGCCCCAGGTATTCCTTGTACTGTATCATTTCGGAGCTTTGCAACTTTGGGCTTATTTAGAGTTATTTAAAGTTTTAAAAAATTTTAGAGAATTTTTAAAGATTTAAGGCAAGCTATAAAGATACCCTCAAGAACTCTAACCTAAGGAAATTATCATATTTATGTAAGGTTAATGATGTAAGCAGAAAATTTTTCTTTGCTCCATTTGTAGTTGAAACAAAAGGAATTAACCGAAATATTTAATAAAGGGAAATTGGCCAAATTGTGTGGTGCATTATGCTTCTATTAAGATTAATTTTTCCAACAAATTGAGGTTAAATGAGATAATGATCCGGGTATGATGTCAATGGGGAGAAAAGCAGAATATAAAGCTATACATACTGTGTAAATCCAATTATGTATCTTTATAGACCCAAATTGAGGGAAATATACCAAAGTAATAACAGTAGTAGGATCAAGGGTAATTTCACCTTTAAATTTTTCTATATTTTGAAGTTTCCCAGAATAAGCATGTATTAATTTTCTAATTAAAACAAATGAACATAGGGGGGCCTGGGTGGCTCAGCTGGTTGAGCGTCCGACTCTTGATTTTGACTTGGGTCATGATCTCACAGGTGAGGCTGAGCCCCACGTGGGAGCCTGCTTGGGCTTCTCTGTCTCCTCTCTCTCTACCCCTCCTCTGCTGGCATGCATGTGCTCTCTCTCTCTCTCTCTCTCTCTCTAAATGAATAAAATAACTTTTTTAAAAAAAATTTTTTTAACGTTTATTTATTTTTGAGACAGAGAGAGACAGAGCATGAATGGGGGAGGGGCAGAGAGAGAGGGAGACACAGAATGGGAAGCAGGCTCCAGGCTCTGAGCCATCAGCCCAGAGCCCGACGCGGGGCTCGAACTCACAGACCGTGAGATCGTGACCTGAGCTGAAGTCGGCCGCTTAACCGACTGAGCCACCCAGGCGCCCCTAAAAGAACTTTTAAAAAAAGAAAAATGAACACAATTTTCTAAAAAGCTACAGAAAAAAAAAAAGAGATCGGGGATAAGCCCAGAGTTATTTTAACAATTTTTTAAGGCTTAAGATAAAATTATACGTGTGTGTTTATTCTTTGAAATGATATCATAATTAAAGACAGAGTGTTTTAATATTTTTTAAGCATGCAGAAGAATATCTACCTTATTGGGTGACTGGCCAGATTAACTGAAACAATCTTTGTAAACTACTTAGAACAGTGCCTGCCCGAGGTAGTATGTTATGCATGTATATAGAATATATGTATGTGGGTATATATGAGATATATATGTATCTATTTTTTATATATACAGTCTCAAACAGTCAGCTGTTTTAACAATCGTCACCTCCCTCCTTGCGTGCCAGCCTCTGGTTGAGAATGGGTTGCGATGGGTACGGCCCGGTCCTCTGGGCCCTGGCGGGGGAGGGGCTGACCTGTGCCGCCTTCCCCCAGGTGGCCGCCGAATACTTCAAGAACACCACGCTGCTGCTGGTGGGTGTCATCTGCGTGGCAGCTGCCGTGGAGAAGTGGAACCTGCACAAACGCATTGCTCTGCGCATGGTCATGATGGCTGGAGCCAAGCCGGGCATGTAAGCGGTCCTTGGGGTGCCGGGCCATAGCGCTTCCCCCAGCAGCCAGGGGCCACCTGGACAGTGGTCCTGGGCCACAGGGGGACGTCCGGCTCGGGTTGGTTTTCTACTAATGGGGAGGGGATGATGTCAGGGCTGCTGGGCTCCTACCTCACTCTCCAGCGAGAGGGCCCTTGATCATAGACTAGAGATTTGAGTGTGTGACTTTGGTGTCATTTATTATCACAGTCTAAAGAATTTATCTGAGTAATCTAGACCGTAAGGGCAGCAGGTTACAAAACACAAGGGGCCCATGAGGTAAAACAAGATGGACCAACGTACATTGTTTCTCAACCTTTCTCTGGTATAACAAGGAACAGGCTGGACGACGAAATGGGTGTCTTCTCCTTTGTCATTGAAGGAGACACGGAGGTTTCCTCCCATCCACCCTGAGGCTTTGTTATCACTGGTTCAGCCCACAGCTTAGATATGTTGCATCTGACCTGGCGTCTGTGATCACAACACGTGCCCTCGACTGTGCCCTCTTCTCTGTGGTCAGGAACACCCATAGAGAGATTCCCAACCTTGGGGGATATGTAAGAAAGTCAGGATTGACAGTTTTGTGTTAACCTCACCTCTGCTCCGTTGAAGAGCCTGACCCTTCTCCCTTTGGAATGTGGGTCTCACCTCCTTCTATTTACAACTTTCTCATGACGTGTTTTTGTAAGCTGCCTGGACTCCATGGGAGTCCAATGGAGCATAAATAAATAACATGGTATCAGTTTTCAACATTGGTCATTTAGACGAATACAGGTTATGCCTAAAAGGATGTTCCTGTATCCCACTTAACTACAGCTTAATTTAAGTTAATTTGCCACTTGGCTCAGCGATAACCTTGTACCCCACACTCAACCTCCTAGGCACACAATGGCACTTACACGTCACGTGGGGACTCTGGAGCTCTTTAAAACCTCCATGTACTCAAACTCAAGGTCAAACTCAAGAATGCCTATCCCATCGCATTTCCACTCTTCTTTATTTAACTCATCCCCCCACATGTTTCCACCCCCGGTAGTGCTCTTTGCTTGCTGGTGGGGGTCCCGGGCAGGCAAACTCACACCATCAGCCTAAACAAAAAAACACCACCAGGACTTTGGCCCACCTGACGTAATCCACTCGATAAATGTGCTGTCCCCAAATCGTGCAGAGTCAGTGATCCCACCTAAAGCAATAAACACGGATAGTCTTTGTTGTTGCCTTGTCTTACGGAAGTGAGAACCCTGTCTGTTCCAACACACATGGTTAGGTTTTCAACGTCCAAGAGAAATCACTTGAGAGTTCTTTTTGTTAGTGTTTTCCTCCAAGGGTTGACTCTTCATGACACCAGCTGAAAAAGTGAACGCAGTGATACGGGACACTTGGGTGACCCGGGGGGCTGTGCTTTCAGCAGGTTGACAGTGGGGCAAGCGGTGAGCGGAACTGTGGGCTCCACACGTCAATCTCTACTTGGTCACTAATAAGTATGGTGACTTGGCTGCAGAGCATAGAATGTAATGGTACCCGTAGAAGTGCTGGCTGCAAGGGCAAAAAAAGAATTCCTTTAGGCACCAAAAAAGCCCATACGTCATCACCAAGCTAATGGCTGCAGAGTTGGCCAATCAGTAAGTCCATGCCCTGTGACCCTACTACCAAGGCTAGTCTCTGCTCACGGAGGGGCTTTTTCTAGCTGAGGCCATTGGCCCGTGGCGTGTGGTTTATTCCTTCAACAAATACTCATTTAATGCTTGCTCTGTGCCAAGCCCTGGGAGTACAGAGTTGAAGGCATGACATAAAAATCGGACCTTCTGGACACACGCTACCCCCACCCCGCCCCGTTCTCCAGCCAGCACCGTCGGGTTCGTAGGAGGCCCCAAAGGAGCCCCGCGAGTGAGCGGGGGGGCCCCTGGGAGATGGCCGTGCTGTAGACGCTGTGCCCCGGCCGCCCTGCCTTCCAGGTTGCTGCTCTGCTTCATGTGCTGCACCATGCTGCTCTCCATGTGGCTCTCCAACACGTCCACCACCGCCATGGTGATGCCCATCGTGGAGGCCGTGCTGCAGGAGCTGGTCAGTGCCGAGGAGGAGCAGCTCGTGGCGGGCAACTCCAGCGCCGAAGAGGCCGAGCCCATCAGTACAGTTTGCTGGAGTTCACCTCCCCTTCGCCCTCATACCCTCCTCTTGTGACGCGGCCCGGCTCAGCGCGGCTCCCCAGGCTCCCTCATCTATGCCCCTCCCCTGCCCTCTATCCCAGACCAGCCCTTGTAACCCGTGACCCTGCTTCCCTGGCTCTTCCTCCCCCTCCTACATCAGCCACCACCTGCCCCTTTCCCCCGAACACTCCACGGTTATGACCACCCCTCTCCCCCCACCCCCCCGGGCCTGTGTGTCTCCACAGCCCACCATGCTTTCAGGCGGAGGGAGGGCAGTCCTCGTGCAGGATACGCCCTGGTTTCCCCATTCAGCCCCAGTCCGGAAGCCCTGCCCTACACGCTCAGCTCTAGCGTCCACATCTCACGTCTGCTTTCCTTTGATACCGTAGGTCTCGATGTAAACAACAGTCAACCCTCCCTGGAACTCATCTTTGTCAATGAAGAGTGAGTATGGCTGCCCTCCTCCCAGACAGAGCCTTGCCGGGTCTATTCCGGGGGTCGGGAAAGCTGGGCCCTGAGCCCATGAACAGCTCTTTTAGATGCCAGGCTCACATCTCGACACTTCCCTCTGTCCTGATTTCCTCTCCCTCCTCGGAACCACTTGCCAAGATCCTGAGGGCAACCCCCTCAACCACAAGGAGTTGCAGTGATGAGGGATGATACAGAAAGACTGACTAGTCTGATTGTCCACACAGCTACCAAGTAGAACTTCTTTTTTTTTTCTTTTAATGTTTATTTTTGAGAGAGAGAGAGAGACAGAGCACAAATGGGGGAGGGGGGAGGGGAGAGGGAGAGGGAGACCTAGAAGCCGAAGCAGGCTCCAGGCTCCGAACTGTCAGCTCAGAGCCCGACATGGGGCTCGAACCCACGAACCGCGAGATCATGACCTGAGCCGAAGTCGGACGCTTAACCAACGGAGCCACCCAGGCGCCCCTACCAGGTAGAATTTCATCTGAATTGGTGTCCTTCGGAGAGTAATACATTTCATTAATGGGAAACATCCACATAATGAATGTCACTGAAGATTCTCAGAGGATCACCAAGTATCTTATAGATACTAGAGGTGGTCTTACTAGACTTGGCCTTGTCAGGTATGACACGGAAAGATGAGGTGACAGGTAGTGGGCTTGACAGTGGGGAGAGAGCCATGTGAGGATGGAGAGAAGCTAAAAAAGGAGAACTACACCCCCCAAACATTCACGTGAGGCAGATCCATCAACGGCTCATTTCATTTGGAGATTTTATATCAGACCGTTGTCCTCGAGGGTCGCTGCGGAGTATCGCCTCTAAAAGTTGGACGTGTAGCGAAACTGAGTTTTGTAGTTTGGTGACTTCATGGGCCGTGAGAACTGGCACTGACTGAAACCAGCACATGTGAGGGGAGGGCGCAGAAGGGTGGGGACTAGCTCTGCTCCCACCCCCCACCAGGCCTGCAGGGTCAGAGGTCAGAGTGCGTGGGGAGAGACTCCTCTTTGGCCTTTCCTCCTCCCACTGTCTGGGCCCCCGCCCCTCCCTCTGCTGCTTCCGACTTCTCCAGGGGTCCATACCATCTCTGAGACTTGGGCCCTGGCTCCCTCACTTGGCCTGGCCGGGTGCCCACCTTCAGCATCCCTACAGTGTCCCCTTGAGGTGACCTCTGCCGAGCCCCAGGCCTGATGGCGGTGGTGAGGTGCTCCCGGATGACCCCCCCACCCCCCACCCCCTGGTTCTGTGCTCTGCCGCTTTACTCCCCCCCAGAGCCCCTTTGTTCCGGGGTTGCCTCTGCCTCTTGGGTGGGGCCTCTTCAAGAAGGCTCCCGCCCTGCCACCTTCTGAGTGCGTGACCCGTGACAAGAGAGACTCGGCATCATGCCCTGCCTCTGTTCTTCTCCAGACCTGAATACATGTCCCCAGACTCTGAAGCAAAGAGCTCAAGTTGTCCCTAGAACTCCCTCAGCAGACTGCTGGTGGGGGCCAGGCCATTTGTGGGGTGAGGATGGCCATCTTCCACGGTGGCCGGCACCTTCCAGGCTGTCTGAGGGGCTCCAGGCCTGCCCTCCTCACCCGATTGGAGAAGTTGGGAGGGGAAACATCATAACACGCTACTCCTCCCAGGCCAACAACCCTCTCCAAAGAATGCTTCCCTCCAAACCCTGCTCAACTCCTCACCCTCCCTTGAGGTAGCCTGGTCAGGGGTGATGGCCACAGGGCTCCAGTCCTGCACTCGTGTCCAACACCTGTCTTCACAGAGCGCTCACGGCACCCGTTGCCTTCAGAACTAAAACAAACCCGGGTGCCTGGCCGGCTCAGTTGGTTCAGCGTCCAACTTCGGCTCAGGTCGCGATCTCTGGGCCCGCGAGTTCGAGCCCCGCATGGGGCTCTGTGCTGACAGCGCGGAGCCTGGAGCCTGCTTCGGATTCTGTGACTCCCTCTCTCTCTGCTCCTCCCCCACTCATGCTCTATCTCTCTCTGTCTCTCAAAAATAAATAAATGTTTAAAAAAAAATTAAAAAAAAAAAAAAAAAAGAACTAAAACCGAAGCATGCATTTAGCGCTGAGCGTAAGGCAGGAGTGCTGTTGTTAAGTTCCCACCTCCCTCTGTACTCAAGGCCAAGGCTGGGTGGGGGATCCCCGGGCATGGAAGAGGCTCAGCACACACAGGAGCAGCTGTGTCAGAAATTCCCCGCACCCCCCCCCCACCCAACCTCTTGCTCACCTCAGCTTCTCACCGCGTGCAGGCCCTCCCTGCTCCTGCAGCCTCAGGGAAGCACGTGGCAAATGTCTCCTTCGAGCCGGTGACCTTCACGAGTCAGCCAGTGAGAATGTGGTTGGGGGGCGGGGGGCCCAGGCGCTCCAGGCAGACAGAGACCGGCCCACCTGTCTGCTCTATAAATGCAGGGACCAGCGATCCGTGGCGACAACGTCAGGAGGACTGACGTCCGTATTTAAGGGCCAGCCCCCCAAATGCACAACGCGCTAGTGAGTAGTGTTAGTACTGCTGTGTCCCCATGAATCCCGGCAGCGTCTCCGGGAGGCTAGGAAGACCGGCGTGAGGTTAGTCTCTCTGCAGCCTAGGAAACCGGACCCCAGAGCAGTCACGACGCGGAACACCAAGGTGGGGCGGGGAAGGGCATGAGGTCTGGTCCACTGTTGTGTTCCCGTTTCCTTTGCTTTGTTCCAGCACGTCGACTGCAGACTTCACTTCTCTGATGCAGGACAAGGTAAGGCTTTGGGTGTTTTCCGTGCTCTAAGATCACTTGGAGGTCCCTCGAGCGGACTCAGGGACAGAGACGGCCTGGAACCCAGCAGCACCGCTGGTGTGAGAACAGAGAGGTGCTCGCGCCAGCCCAGACGTGAGAGGGGCTGGACGGGCTCCTGCCAAGGGCCTGGGTACCTCTGAACCCCGGTCGCGAGAGGGCTTAGCCTTTCATCAAGTGCACGGTGGCCTTTTTCGCGGGAACCCGACCGTCGGCCCTCCGGGAACCACAGATTCACCCTCGGGATTCCTTGCACTGGGGAGTCCGCGCAAAAACTATCAAAAGGGTCACATTCACGGAGGAGAGCCGAGTTTACGGCCTCGCTCCTCCCCCGGAGCTGGTTGTACGTCTTCGTACGGCAGCCCAAATTTTGATGCCCACACTGTGGACTTTGTTGTGGTGGGATTTTTGTTTTTCATCTCCTTCGCGTTAAAGAAAAATGAAGGATTCATCGTTAGCTAATGAAGTTCCAGAAAGCCGGGCTCTCCTGCAAGGACACAGCCGTGCTCTGCCCAGTTTCAAAAGCCTGTGCAAATGGGCGGCTCGATACCAGGCTGGATGGGGAGGTGCGGGCTGGAGGCACAGTGGGGCGGCCCCCTGCTGCGCATTCTCCCCCGGTTTCCGGTTTCCCATTTCCACTTGGCGCAGGCGTGGGGTGCCCATGGGGGCGACTACGTGGTCCCTCTGAGGGCCACCACGTCGTCTTCCTGACAGTGTGATGGTCTTTGTCGCTGCAGAACCTGAATGGGGTGCCCCCAATCACCAACCCTGTCAAAATGGCAAGCCCCCAGGGCAAGAAGCAGCACCGATCCCAGGTAATAGAACTCACCCCCCCCCCCCCCCCCCCGCCCGGACCCTGTTTCCTACAGGGAAGGCCTTGAGCTTCCGAAGGGGCGTTGGCCTTCAAGGTATGAGGGCGTCAGGGCCGTGAGCTGCCACCAAGCCCTCCAGCCACATGCATGTCTGGCCTGCACGTGCCACGGGGATAAAACATCTAACTCACTGTTGATTTCAGCAAGCCATTCTACCATCTGAGCCCCTGTTTTTTCTTCAACCATAATATCTGGAAGTTGGGGCGCCTGGGTGGTTCAGTTGGTCTGACTTTGGTTCAGGTCATGATCTCACGGTCCGTGAGTCCAAGCCCCGCGTTGGGCTCGGCGCTAACAGCTCAGAGCCTGGAGCCTGCTTGGGATTCTGTGTCTCCCTCTCTCTCTGCCCCTCCCCTGCTTGTGCTCGCACACTCTCTCTCGCTCTCTCCCGCTTTCAAAAAATAAACATTAAAAAAAATTTTTTTAACTGGGGGTTTGACCAGATCAGAGGTGTTCAAGCTGTTTCTCATAAGTGCTTCAGGAAAAACGCAAATATTTTACTGATTCTGAGATTGTAAGAAAACTTTCTGTGCAAATGAGGATCCTCCTGCTACTTACTATTCCACTGAAAGAAAACGCAGAAACAAGATAGATACTGAAGCTGGTATAAAATTGCAGCTACCACTTAAAACCCTTGATTTCAAATCTTTGTGTCCATCCAGATAATCTCAATTCCTTAACGTCCATCACGGTCATAAATAACCATCACCATTTATGAAACGCTTTTTATGTACCAAGCACGTGCGAAGCATTCTCTCCCCGGTCTTGGCTCGGTGAGGTACCAGTCTGGAACTCCATTTCTGCAGATGACGCAAGGACATCACATCATGTGCCCCAGGCCTTAGAACTAGTAGGGAGAGGAGCATCGCAATTCAAATCCAAGCCCCACCCCCACCCCGCCCCGACCACACGTGTGTACTTTTAGTTACAAAATAGATGTACGCTGATGAAATGCTACATCATATTTTATGTATTGGAGGTCCGTGAAAATGTTCATTAGTAGGAAGGATCATGGAAAACCACTGGACCAGAGAATCTATGAGGTCTCTTCCAGCTTTGATAATGAATCTTTCAGGAAGGTTAGGGAGGGTCCAGACTGGCCTGGGCTCTCCTACGAGGTAGGGCTTTGAGAAAGATGGCCTCTTCGCCATGGTTTTCCCAGGATCTGGCCTGCTGGCCTTGGTCTCATGAAGACTCAGTGAGGGGAGACCAGGCCTGGGGGAGCAGAGGGCACTTGCTTCTTTATCTACACTTGAGACCAGAGGTCAGCAACCTCTGACCCTGAAAGGCCACCATCTGGGCCAAACAGGACCTGAGAGAAGACAGAAGGCCGGCCTTATACGCAAGCAGAGGAGGGGCGTGGGGAGGCAAAACCAAGAGGCGAAAAGGAGAAAAGCATGAGGAAGGGAGGAGAGAGTCATACACTGGATTCCCCCTGCAACCTAAGCGTTACTTCTCAGTCCTCTCGGGGTCAGGACTGTCACTCCAGCTCTGGATAGAACAACCACCTTCCATGTGTTATTCACACAGAGAGCGGAGAGCAACCAGTTTTGCTGGAGTTCAAGTGAGAAACAGAACACGCTGTTACTAACAACAAAAGTAATAATAGCTTAGCATTCGTTGAATGCCAGGAAATGTTCTAAGTGCTTTACGTACGTTACTTCACTTACTCTTTATAACAATCTTGTGGAGAAAATAAGATCTTCATTCTACAGAAGAATATGCAGCCCAGCGGGGCTGCCCCAGTTGGTAAACGGTAGAACTAGGATTGGGATTTGTCTTTCCACTGCGCCATGATGCCCCTATTTTCATGACTTGTGTGGGGGACAGCCCGCGCTGGGTTGGAGGCACTGACTAATTTTCCTCCAATAGGAAAAGCCACTAGTCCTGATTCCTGGGCCCAGGAACCAGGAGCTCAACAGAAAGTACAAGTCCCAGCGTGACCAGATGATCTGCAAGTGCCTGTCTCTGAGCATATCTTACGCTGCTACCATTGGGGGCCTGACCACCATTATTGGTACCTCCACCAGCCTCATTTTCTTGGAACACTTCAACAAGTAAGTAACTCACCTGGTCAACAAATATCTACTTGACACCCACTACGTGTCAGGAATGGAACTGGGTGCTAAGGATAGGGCAGAAAATGGGCCTAGAGTAGCTTCCATACCAAGAGGGAAAAGAGACATCGAGCATGACAGTTCAGTGGGACTGGAGAGGGGCAGGGTTCTGCTGGGAGAGCCCACGGGGGCCACCCAGTCTACAGGGAGAGCAGGCCTCCCCAAAGACACAGCCTTGGAAGCGAGACCCGAGGCTCAGTGGGAGTACAATGGATGAAGAGAGGTTTTCCAAAGAAAGCGGTGAGTGGCAGGACTGAGGCGAGAGAAAAGAGCCCATAAAAGAAAATGGCAGAGGGCAAAAGGTGGAAATGCAGATTGCAAAGGGCCTCTTGAGGCCCACGAAGGAGTTTGGACTTCATCTGAAAGGCCATGAGACGTCTTTGAAGCATTTTAGGCAGGGAGTGAGGTGATCGGATTTACAGTTTGGGAAACTGATGGTGGACTGAAAAAGTGGAAAAAGTAGGAAGGAAGCAGGAAGGAAGTAGGAAGGAAAAGTAGGCGGCAGGAAGATAATTTTGGACAGCACTGCAGATGCCCAGGAGAGAGCTGGCGATGGCCTGCAAACACAGACAGCAGTGGAGAAATGGTCAGATTTGAGAGATGGGCCCGGGAGAGGGAAAGGCCAAGTCTGATTGTCAGACTCATGGCTTCCGCAGCTGGGGGAAGAGAGTCGCCCTTTACCTAAATGAGCAGAAAAATGAGGAAATGTTGACGTGGAGGCTGAGACGTCCAGATGGATACACAGCTCTGAATCTTATTTTTAGGCTAAAGGCACAGATTTAGTGGCCTGAAGAGCTGTCTTCATGAACATGTAACCCATGTTGTCACATCAACTACCATGCTCAGAAGGGCCCCATACTTAGCTCAATGCTCGCTGTCACCATCTGAAAATTCTTAATAATTTTTGAACGAGTGGCCCCACATTTGCATGTTGTTCTGGGCCCACAGATTAGATGGCATTGGGTCCTGGTGGGATGCGTGTGGAAAGTGAAGTCAGGAGAGTGAAGGAGATCAATCACTCAGGGAAAACAGAGAGAGTTAAGTAGAGCAGGGACCGTAAATATTAAGCTTGGATATTTTAAAGTAGACTATAAATGAGACAACAAAAGGGATCACCCAGGGAAGAGGAAAATCTGGTGTCATTCCATCAAAGGGAAGAAAGTGTTCAAGGAGGAAGGGGTGGGCTACACTGTTTAAAGTGGCTGAATGGATAAGGAAAAGGACAAAAATGTGTCCGTTTGATTTGGTGACACAGAGGTAACCTAGGCAAGAGCAATTTGGTCAAGAGATTGAAAAGTGAAGCCAAGTGTCAGTGAGGTGAGGAGTATGCTGGAGGTGAGTAGACAGAGAGTTGTCTGTGATGGGAAGGAGAGGTATGGGATGATGACAAAGGAAGAGTCCAGTGGGGTCAAGAGGGGGTTTTAAGACGGAAGATGTTTAAATGCTGATAGGCATGTCCAGGTGAGAGGAAAATTAAAGTTTTGGGAAAGAGGTGATGATTGATAGAGTGATATCACTGAGAAAACAAGAAAGGATGGGCTCCAGAGCAGAGGGCAGAGAAATTGATCATAGCCAAGAGGATAAACACACCCTTCCATTTAGCAGGAAAGGGAAGGAAGGAAGGAAGGAAGGAAGGAAGGAAGGAAGGAAGGAAGGAAGGAAGGAAGGAAGGAACAAGGAAGGAAGGAAGGGGGGGGGGGGATGGACCAATGAAAGTTAAGACCGAAGTCTCTGGGACGTGAACTTCACGGAGTCATCACACCATATTATTCTGTCCAAGCTCTGAGTTTCTGCTCTTCAATTTCTGGTTCACTCTGTGGTTGGGCCAATTCATATTCCCTCAGTCTACTTCCTGGCTTGTGTCATGGTACATTTAGTCATCACATTGGCTTACTTGGACAACAGGAATTCTGTGAAAGGAAGGTGGACTCCCTGGATCCCCGCTGGTCTGAAAATGCCACCGTGCTATTTTTCTTGGCACTGGTGAACAGACCACCCCCAGAGTGCATCCCGGCTGTGTTTAAAAAATCTACAAATTGGTTGTTACATTCAGTACATACAGTCACACTTTCCAAAGTGCTATAGATGATATTAGGCCCTAACATTTATCCACAAAAGTCTATTTAATCTATCCGAAAAATCCATTCCTTTTCCCGGGTCCAGGAGCAGGGCCTAGGCTTCTATGTACAGAGAACAGATGATGCAAGACTTCATGCCCGTTGGCCCAGCACAGCCCAGAGTGATCACTCAGTGATTTACATGCCCTCTGGTGTCCTTCTAGCTCCCAAAGCCCTTCTCTCCACTGACAGTGACTGACAGTGACTCTGGCCCTTAGGGAGGGCATGAGCTGTCACAACTTCCCAAGAGGCACACCGGTGGTAAAGGTAAGTCCACGACCAGGCCACAGTGCAAAACAACAGTGTTGTTTCTCTGTGATGGAAGAGAAGATTAAACACTCTTGCATCCTGTGCTTCCATTGTATTTTCTCTCTGGGGGATTCTTCTCTCGGTCGTTCTCTTTTCCCATGCAGTGTCTAGTGTGAAGAGAGGGGCACAGTCTCCTCCCACCTTAGAGGAGTTCTGTGCCCAGTCCCAACTAGAAGAGCCCAAGGGGAAAGGAATGCAGGTGTTGTCTAGGCTATAGTCGTGGCTCACATGTGGCTCCCCAGGAAACGACACCTGGGCTGGGGCCACCGCCCTGCCTGGTGATGAATGGAGAGTCCTCTGGGTAACCTCCCTGAGACGCTAAGACACCAGTGCATGTTGACCAAAGATTTAGAGATTCTAAGTCATGGTTCTCCTATGGGCACAGTCAACACCGGGAACCCTCCTGATGCTCTAGAGTCCAAACTTCTCCAGAATTGCATTCCCCAGTCAAAGCTCATATTCCTTCAGTGACTTTATCACACAAAGTATACCAGACTGTCCTTTCCATTCTCTGTTGTCCTGAAAAACAGATGAGTAAACATATAAGAAGAATCTTTATATAAATTAAGAGCAAAGAGCTCCCGAGTGGTTCTCCTGAGCGCAAAGTATCTACGCTTCAGTGAAATCGATTTTGGGTGTTTAGGTGCCTTTTTCAAGTTTCCTTCATAATTCTTGGGACCAGTAGAGTTGCGACTGTCAAAGACGTGAGTTCTAGGTAACGTTTTACCTTATTGTTACCATCATCTCTCTGCCGTTAGCTCTGATGTATGTCTTCTTAAGGAGCATTTAGCTTATTACCCCCAGACACCACATGGGAACCCACCCTTTTCTAGTCACTGACCTGGTTTCTTCCCCTCCAGCCAGTACCCAGCTGCAGAGGTGGTCAACTTCGGCACCTGGTTCCTCTTCAGCTTCCCCATCTCCCTCATCATGCTGGTGGTCAGCTGGTTCTGGATGCACTGGCTGTTCCTGGGCTGCAAGTGAGTCCCAGGGCCCTGCCAGCAAGGCACCGAGGCTCTCCCGTCCATCCAAAGTCATGGTGCGCGCCATGGAGGGCGCTCCTCGGGGAGCCACCAATAACCATGGAGGACGCATGAGGAGAACGCACTGTACTAGATGGGGAGTCAGGTGTCACCTGTTCTAGACCCTCTAAACATACATGGACTCTGCACTTCACCATGAGCTCCACAGTGGAATGTTCTTAATTCCAACTAGCTGGTTAAAGGAACTGCCTGATTTAGAACAAGTGTGAATGGTGGGTGGTTAATGTAGTTTCATTTCCTTCAAAGCATACGGAGTAATTTGAACTAATTTCTAAAGAAACGTGACTCCAAGTAGAAGTTTCTTTAGGCTTTGTTTTATACACGTGACTGATTTATACTTAGTAGTTGCGTGAAAGATGCTCATATTTCTCAGAATCAAAAGGTAGCTATTCCTCCTGCAATATAATTTCTAACATTAATCTGCTTAGGAAGTCTTTTCTTCATAAGTTGACCAGCCTCGAACACATAAAGGGAAGATGCACATGATGTTTTGATATTGATCCACGGGACCCAAGACTCCCATTGCTCAGGGAATGTTCTCTGAGCAGACTTTAAAAAAAAATTTTTTTTTTAATGTTTATTTTTGAGAGAGAGAGAGAGTGCGCACAAGCAGGGGAGGGGCTGAGGGAGACACAGAATCTGAAGCAGGCTCCAGTTTCTGAGCTGTCAGCACAGAGCCCTACGTGGGGCTTGAACTCACAAATTGTGAGATCATGACCTGAGCTGAAGTCGGATGCTCAACAAACTGAGCCACCCAGCCACCCCCAGACTTTTTTTTTTTTTAATAACACAGAGGCTACTATGACATCAATGACAGCCGCATACTTCTATACCTCCAGCGCGTAGAAAACAACCCCATGTAAATACACTTGCCCAAGTCTGTAAGACATGACTTCACACCGATACACCAGATATATACCCAGATAAATATGCCCAAAAGCCTATGGGAGAGGCTGATGAGAGGCTGTGAAACCTGGCACAAAAAAAGTTGTAGGGTATCGGGTGCCTGGCTCAATCGGTTAAGCATCTGACTTGGCACAGGTCATGATCTCATGGTTCATGAGTTTGAGCCCCACATCGGGCTCTGCACTGACAGCACTTAGCCTGCTTTGGATTCTCTGTCTCGTTCTTTCACTCATTCTTCGTCCTCAGTTTTAGAGAGACCTGCTCTCTGAGCAAGAAGAAGAAGACCAAAAGGGAAGCGTTGTCAGAGAAGAGGATCCAAGAGGAATATGAAAAGCTGGGAGCCATTAGGTAAAAATCAGCTATTCACCTTCTCTTCCCCAGGAAAGCATGGCAGGTAAAGTGAGCACATAAGCAGCCTTGTTCTCGACAGTCCCTTGAGCTGGGGGAGTTTTCCGCAACTATGAACCCAGGCATTTAGAACTGCTACTTAATGCCCAAGTCCGGCTGGCCCAGACTCCAGATGGCCACCCTTCCCATTTACCATATTCGAAGTCCAAGGTATAGCCGTGGTGTGGGTGTGGATGTCATACGTGGGGTGGCCAGATGTGCGAGTCAGTACAGCCACACTCTTGGGGACAGGCCCAATTCCCCGTAAAGTCAGCCCCCTCACACTGCTCTGAATGGGCCACCGCTGGTCCACGGACACTCCTAGGGAGCTGGGGCGGGGGGTGGGGGGGTGGGGGGGGAATCGGGCATCATCAGATACAGACTTGAAGACACCCCCATCCTCAGCAATTTCCATCGGCTTTCCCCAGTGACCTCGTGTCCCATCTGGGGCCGTTTCTCCGTTGATGGCAATTGGCACGTACAGTTTGGGCAAAAGGATCCCGGTATAAGCAGTATTTTTAAATGTTTTAATTTATAAAAGGAATACATGTTCATCGTAGAACATTTAGGACATAAGGAAAATATAAAGAAAAAACTAAAGTCGGCTTTTATTTATTCAGTGTTAACTGTCAACAACTCTTAACATAATGCACTCTTCCTTATATGCTTGTTTTGTGCAAAATTATATCTATTTTTGCTAAAATTCAATCCAAACTAAACACAGTATTATATCTTGCCTCCCGCCCCCCCACTTAGGATTAGGCTGTCGTTATATTCCCAGGCCATTAACTCTGCTATGCAAACACGATCATTAAATGTATCTCATTTGAGCCTACAGTTATACCAAAATGTACCTGATGTCATGGAATATCGCTGAATATGTAGGTTGTTTCCATTTTCAATGTTGAATTCTCAAATAGGTAACATAGCACTGGCATTTCTGGTTATTTCCTTGCATGAAAGCAAGGACCGAGTTGAAGGCTCCAGATATACATCAGCACATTCCCTCAAAAAGGTTGTTGCAGCTCCTGCCCTCACCAGCAGCGTTCGGGGGCCTCTTCCACCGCATTCTCCTCGGAGGCCGTACTGTGTTTTGTCTTATTTTCTTTTTAATGTGTGTTTATTTATTTTGAGAGAGAGGAAGAGCGAGAGCAGGGTTGGGGCAGAGAGAGAGAGGAAGAGAGAGAATCCCAAGCAGGCTCTGCACTGTCTCGCGAACCGTGAGATCATGACGCTTAACCTTAGCCGCGTGAGCCACCGGGCGCCCCGTGGACCTCGTGTTGTTGTACAACCGCATCCCGCTGTGCCACCCTATATCTCCTCCCGCCTCACCTCGAGGAGCCGCGGTTAACGCCATGTGTTCTGGCACCTTCTCAGCCCGCTTCCCACTTCCCGGCAGCCGCTCAGCGCCGTGGGCTGGTGGCTCTGAGCCCCGAACGCAGGAGCGCCTGCAGCGAAGTGAAAAACATGCAGACTTCCCGGTTCCTGGAGCAGCTCTTCCTGTTGTATTTCGTAGCTACCCTGAAATGGTAACCGGATTTTTCTTCATCCTGATGACCGTGCTGTGGTTTACCCGGGAGCCTGGCTTTGTTCCTGGCTGGGATTCTTTCTTTGAAAAGTAAGTGATGTTGTCTCCTCCTTAAGGAGACAACCCCTCCCCCCCCCCGCCCACATACACACACAGAGCCTTCAGGCAGGTCCCACCTGTGTCCCTCCTCCATTCTTAAGGGCAGCGCTCTTCTGTTCCCTGGAAAGTCCCCTCTTTTAAGGGAAGCCAGAGTGTGGGGTCAGGAAGAAAATGGCCACGTGGCCTCTGTGTGTCGCGTTGGGATGTGGTGCTGCCCCTTACCAGTCGTGTGACCTTGGTCTTGTTACTGGAGCTGCCTCACAGGCGGCTCTGAGGGTTCAAGATCAGCTGTGAGAGTGGTGGCTGAGGCCTTGGCAGGGAGAGGCAGGCAGAGGCCCCCGTGCCACCCCGGCAGGACCTCGGAGGGCCGGGGCCACCGCTCTCTCTCAGCACGGCTTCTCCTTGGAGCAAAGACACACTTGGAGGTGTGGCCCTTGCAGGAAAGAGAACTCATCCTTTTCCCTTCCCCTTCACCGAAATCACTCCCGATGTCTCCTTCTCTAGGGCCCATAGATCCACACTAGACATCCACCTTAGCCAGGCCCAGACTCCAGACATCGACCGCTGCCCATTAAACCCACCGCTGGCTAGTGGGGCAACACGTGCAGGAGGGAAGGCTGACCGCCCTCCAGCCTGGGTCCCAAAGAGAGGCCCCGCGTCCAGAGGGACTGTTCTGAGACATCGTGCCACCCTCCTCCTCCAGCCCTGCCTGTCTCTTTGCTAGGAAGGGCTACCGCACGGATGCCACGGTCTCCGTTTTCCTCGGCTTCCTCCTTTTCCTGATCCCGGCAAAGAAGCCTTGCTTTGGGAAGAAGAGTGACGGTGAGAGAAGAAGTTGGGGCTGGCCCTAGTCAATAATACCCAAGTCAGAAGTGGGGGAAGGAGATTCACCGAGGCTGTTCTGAGTGCCTCCCCCGTACCCCACGATAGAGGCAGAGCCCGCTCCCAAATCATCGGTTCAGCAGTTAGGCCCTTACTCCACGAATCCCACCTATTAGGGTTCATCTGGGTCTACCTCTGTCTACCTGTGATCCAGGGCAGAACCAGGAGCCCTCCCGGGGGACGGAGCCCATCATCACCTGGAAGGACTTCCAGAAGACCATGCCCTGGGAGATTGTCATTCTGGTGGGAGGAGGCTATGCTCTGGCTTCAGGCAGCAAGGTAACTCTTGAATTCTGTTGTCACTGGGCCGAAGAATTTTCAAGCTGCTTTACCTAATGGCCATTTCGCTTCTGGGAGGAAGATTCAAAGGCACGGAGGGAGAGGTGAATGGTCACCCAAGGGAACAGTCCAGATGGGAGTGGCCATCCCGTGTCCTGTTCCTGCCCTGAGCTCCTAAGCTAATGCTGCTGGGAACAGAGCTACAGACAGCTGAGCTATGGGCTCTTGGCACACGGGCACTCACACCTCACTCACCGGCCCACACAGCCACAAGCAAAACATTGGATTTTATAGCCATCTCCCTGTGGGCGTGTGACAGTGGTGTTAGGAGACGTGTCTGTAAGGGCCCGGAGACACCCTGCACTGACACACGGAGAACTACCCCTCAGTCAGTCCTTACGCATATATTGAGCCCCTTGGGAGAATGCACGCTAACGCTCAGGGATATGCTGTAAACGCGCCCTGATTTCCTGACTGGGCACAACTGGGATGAGATCTCATAAAGGGGGCCAGTGGGAAAGCATTAGCCCTTCCTGAAATAGAGAATGATCCTCACAATGAATCAGGTTCACACCGTTTGTCCTTTGACCTTTGCTATATTCATTAACTTGGCTCACTCCTGACTGCCCATTCATTGAGAGCCAGTGCTATCTGCATCACTAATAATAAGCTCAAAGAATCCTACACTTGGAAGGAACCTTGGAGGACACTGGGTCCCGTCTACCCAATGAGAGAATTCCCTGCACGACACCCCTGGGCTTGAACACCACCAGTGACAGGGTATTCTTGAGCAGGGAACAGAGAATCGTTCTTTACATTCAGCTCAGGTCCTCTGTCTTCCACTATTGGCTCTGACTCTGTCCTCTGGAGCCCCATCCTAGGTAATAATTATTAAAATAATAAAAAGTTATTAGATCCCCTTAGATCTTTTTTTTTTTTTCCCTCTCTCAACTAAAAGTCCCTAGTTCCTTCAACCATTCATCAAGAAATAGTGACCCCTTACCACGCTGGTCTCTCTCCTCACCACTCACTACACTTTGACCCTGACCTTATTCAAACGTGGTCCAGGGGCGGTCAGTCTACTGCAGAGTCAAGTAGTCCTATTACTCCAGCCCCAACTCTCACCTCTGATCCAAGCACCATTCTGTATTTTTATGGACGCTTTTACAAGGCCTCAACGGCACTCATGTCAACACTTATGTTGAAATTGCAGCCAATTAAAACCCCCATTCTGGAGGCGCCTGCGTGGCTCAGTGCGTTAAGCATCCGACTCTGGCTCAGGTCATGATCTCACGGTTTGTGAGTTGGAGTGCTGCATCGGGCTGGCAGCGCAGAGCTCGCTTCAGATCCTTTGTCTTTCTCTCTCTCTGCCCCTCTCCCACTCGTGCTTTCTCTCTCTCTCTCTCTCTCTCAAAAATAAACAACACAATTTTAAACCCTCATTCTTTTAACTGTTAGCCACTATTAAACTTCAAGTCTTTCAACCAATTCTGTATACATGCTGTTGGTATTTCTGATTCCAAGTTCAGAATATCATACTTATCTTTTTTGAATTTCAGTTGTTAGTTTTGGCCCCTGGGTCTAGCCTGGAAAGATTTTTTTTTTTAAACCTAAATTGTGTATGTACTACAGATAGCATAGTTGATATTTCTGTACAATCTAATGACTCTACTAATTTTAGTAATATAATTCAAGTATGACAGTGATTCCTACCGAGTTTGAAATCATTTCAGTCTTGACATGAGGAAAATCCAATGTAAAATGCATACCAAGGCTTAAAAAAAAGTAAGACTTCCTTTTGGTGCTTTTTTCTAACTTCGCAATCCAATTTATCAATTTATTTTTTAAATTTATCAATTTATCCTGTCTTTGTCCAGTGGGCCAGGTTTAATGTGCTAGACGAGATAATGATTACAGAGTTCCTGTAGGCCTCAAAGCTCTGTACCAACCATGAATTGCTGTAGTCCCCGCATGTTGGATTTGCAGCTCTCGGTCAAGGCTCCCAGGTAAAAGGGCCACAGCAGAGAGAATTCTGAAGGCCTTCGGTCACCAGCTGCCTATGAGCTCGCCTTGGGGTGCTATAGAGATCAAGTAGCCTTTGATGAATTCAGCAAAAGGGAGAAAAAGCCTGCTGACGATGCGGTGAGGCTGTCTTTAACAGCAAAATATGAGTAGGACTTGACCCTTGAGGAGTTATAAAATGTCTCACCTTGCTTCCAGCCCTACTCTCCAGTCCTTTAGCGCGTCTGCAGTCTCCAGGGTACTCAGGGGACAGCAGAGCACATCAACCACAGGATGGAGAGGAAAAGGGAGGGAGGGAGGAGAATGCATATGGCGACCTGGGGTTTTTAGTACAAGGATTCAATGGTGTCCTCCATTTTTTAGGGGAGGGAGGGAATCTTCACCATTGGCAAATGAACAGTTCTCAACCAAATAAGTTATTCCAAGAGGGAATATTCATTTATTGGAGCAGATCGATGTAAATTTTGCTAATGGAAAAGGTTCAAGAGTGGCAGCATGCCTTTGTATCTTGTGTCATGAAAAAGCACTGACAATTGTAGATCCTGATGTCAGCCCTGATGAGATTGAACCTGAAACAGGTTGGGACTGTATGACTCGGCTTCTGGGTCACCTTCCCAGGAGGAGGCACCTTCCCACTAAGTGGAAATAGACCCGTAATCCTCTCCTTCGTCACTCATGTAAAGCTTCTAGTGTTCAGCCCTGCCCACTGACTCCCCCAAAACCACAGGAAAGGTCATTATCCAAAGATGTTGATAATTTTCACCCTTTCACAGGTGATAAGAGAGCTAGATTTCAAAAGCAGAAGTGAGGATTACACTGGGGAGTCTGTGTAAAAAGCACTGTTGACTGAATACCCAGAGTGAGAATGTCAGAAGCTGGAGAGAGTAATGAGATTGACATTGAGGGGCTAGTCGCCCCCAAAATCTCTAGCCCCTACCAAGCCATAAAGAATTTTCTGGACTATGGGGCGCCTGGGTGGCTCAGTCGGTTGAGCGTCCGACTTCGGCTCAGGTCACTATCTCGCGGTCCATGAGTTCGAGCCCTGTGTCAGGCTCTGGGCTGATGGCTCAGAGCCTGGAGCCCACTTCCAATTCTGTGTCTCCCTCTCTCTCTGCCCCTCCCCCGTTCATGCTCTTTCTCTGTCTCAAAAATAAACATAAACATTAAAAAAAAATTCAAAAAAAAAAAAGAATTTTCTGGGCTATAAAAACTGTCTAATTAATCATCAAATCAGTAATGCCTCTGGGTCCAGTCCGCCTGAAAATAGGGAGGCAAATTAGATGACTCCTGGTGGTTCCTTTCAGCGCCCCCCCCCCCCCACATCCCTGACCTTCTGGAGTCTAAGAATTCCATTGGGAATGGGTGTTTCCTCCTTTCTTCTTATTGTATCACCTGTGTTCCTGCAGAGCTCTGGCCTCTCCACATGGATTGGGCACCAGATGTTGTCTCTGAGTAGCCTCCCACCGTGGGCCATCACCCTGTTGGCATGCATCCTGGTGTCCATTGTCACAGAGTTTGTGAGCAACCCAGCCACCATCACCATCTTCCTGCCTATCCTATGCAGCCTGGTGAGTGGGGCAGGGCTCCCAGGTGTCCAGATGGGCTCCCCCGGGCCCAGGGAGCAGTTCCATGGCTGCCCCTCTCCTCTGGTCATTGCCATGGCCTTCACTGATTGGTGCTCAAGCCATAGTTTGGAGATGACGTCTTTCAAAGAGCCACAGAGAAGTAAATCAATAAATTAACAGATGGTAGCAAGGCTTCTAGAAAATCCTTTCCGAAAGACAGGATGAGTTTTGAGGCAGTTCTGAATGGACAAAATAACTTTAAAGCCCTAGGATTCCAATTCCTCGCCACCATCGAATTTCTTTCTGTCCTAAGACGTAACAGGAGGGCAGGAGGAATAACTACAGAAAATGGAGGCAAAATGCCCCCAGGAGCACACTCAGCTGTAAAGACCGAGACTGCAGCATCACCACCTCCCCCCAATCTCTCTGTCCAGGAGAGTCTGAGAATTGAGGGCAACGCCAGCCTTACCCCACGGTCGCAGAACAGTCTGTTACTGCGGACCAGGGGAGGAGAGCAACTGCCAGATCTTAGCCCGGCTGAGCAGCGCCCAAAGTAACGCCCCAGACACGATGCTGCGTCTGTCCCATCCACGGGCTGCAAGCTAGAAAACAAAGGCTCCTCCCCATCCCCCAGAAAATGATAACTTTCAGCTCTTTTTAACCCCAAACTACCCCCCGGTCACTCTCTCTGCTCATTGCTCAGATGTCTCCCTCCGTCACCTGTGTGAGCACGGGAGGGCACTTAGTCAAAACCCCTCAACGACGAGGGCAAGGCCATGGGTTCAAATCCCATGCAAAGCAAACATCTTACTTAGAAAAAAAAAGCCAAACAACCTTGGTTCTGCACCCCAAGGATGAAGGACCCCCACTCCAATCAAAGCAGCTTATTCATGAGATTTGAGCTCGAAGGATGAATCTCTCAGCTAAGGAGTAAAATTAGACCAGCCCCAAGAAATGAAACATCCCTTCCAGGAGGGAACTTAAGGCCCATGTTTCTATGGGGAGAGAGGGAGCAGCATGAGCCCATTTGGGTTGCCCAGCACCGTATGCCCTTGAGGGTAGTGATTTAACTACCCCCAGCGCGTGGTCTCCAGCCAAGGTTAGCGAACACCAAACCATCATTGAAAGCGTGCCTGCGATGCTGAGCCCAAGAAACGCCAGCGTAATCTCGACGCTAACGTGTCTGTGAATTCTCTCCTCTCCTAGTCCGAAACGCTGCACATTAATCCACTCTACACCCTGATCCCAGTCACCATGTGCATCTCCTTTGCAGTGATGCTGCCCGTGGGCAATCCCCCCAACGCCATCGTCTTCAGCTATGGGCACTGCCAGATCAAAGATATGGTGAGTCGCGGCCGCCCTCTTCCCGCCAGCCCCGGCAGCCGGGAGGACTTCTCCTGAACTTTATCATTTTGTGGCAGCGCCTGTGGTCTGCCAACACCCAGTGCGGTGTGGTAGAAAGAATGGTGCTGGTAAGAAGGCTTTCGGTTGGCCCACAGGCACCAAGAATAGCAACCACGTCCTCTGCCCCCCTACTCTGGGAGACAGTGGGTACAGGGACAGACAAAGCTGGGACAGACACGAGACGCAGCCCAGTGGGGTGAGGCACGAGTCTTTGCCTCCGTTTCTTCACTGGACCAGCAGGCATGTTCGTTCAAAAAGCTGCTGGCTTACTCATGGGAGCCGAGTGGGAGACACCACAGGGGCCCAGGGGAAAGGGAAAGGGGTGACGGCGCAGGGAGGGCCTCACCAATCCTTTTTCACTCGAGTCCAAACTCGTTCTCCGCGGCCCTGTAAATATCAAATGGAGGAAAGGAAGCAAGAGCTCCAGGCCAGGAGCAGATATTCAGATACTTTTCAGCTTTCAACCCGCTCACCTAAGCGCTCTGTAATACTTCGGGGAAGGGAGGTCACCGCCATCCCCCCCCCCCCCCACCACCAATCTCTTACTGCATGACCCTGTCTGCTCAAGAGAGTTGAGCTCGGCCCCAACTCTCTTGTCCCCCCAGCTAACTCTCCCGGGTGCCCCCACCACTCACCCCATCCCCCCGCACCTTCTACCCTGGAATCGAGTGATCAGAGACAGCGCCTTTCAAAGGCACCAGGTGACAAGAAGTGAGCTAGTCCCGGGCGCTGACTCGAGGCTTCAATGTCCTCATCTTCTAAAGGTGGGGGTGCCAACCAAATGTTCTACATGGTTCCTTCTAAACGATCAGCCCCTTTAGAACCTGCCCCCTCTGCTAGGAGACAGGGGCGGCCCTCCACGCCCAAAGCCCAGGGGGCAAGGCCGATTAATACGTCCAGGGCCCTGCCCACAAAGCAGGGAGCCAACACATCTAGTCACTTGCCTGGAACCATCTTGTCACAGCTTTGCCAACCTAACGCCAGCCCTCCTTACTGTGCATTTTTCCATCTTGCCCCACACCCCCCGTCAGCCTGTGAGGCTCAGTTCCGTGGCAGAGACGGGAGGGCCGAGTCGTGGAGGCGACATCCCCTCAGCGGAAAGAAGCAAAACTAGCTCGCCCGCGTCACTCTCCCGCCGAAGGGCTGAGCAGAGGCAGTCGGCCTGGTTCTCCACGTGAACCCCACGTACACAACCTTCTGTAGGCCGTTCCTTTGGGAAGGAAAGCACGGTTAACAGTGGCAAAGGCTTTGTAGAACCTGGCCTCTCCTACAGGTCCCCCTACGTATCAGCACGTTAAAGGTTCCGAGAAGTTCCTGCCTTAATGCACTTCCCTGTCACGCGGGCCCCCTGCTTGGCGTGAGTCTTAACAAACGGAGACCTGGTGTTCCAAGCACACACGTGCCAGGCCTCCACCGGGAGTGGCGGCACTGCAGGTGGAGACGGTTCTAGTGGCCTCTCCCATCCTGCCACGCTCCCAAGACACCCTTCGTGCAACACTACGGATCCCAGGCAGCGACTGCGACAGACCAGCGCCAACCCTTGGGCGGGGGGCACAGAGGAGCACCCGGGGTCTGTGCTGCTGCCCGCTCAGTGACTTGGGTGGGCTTGGTTTGTGTCCTACAGGTGAAAGCTGGCCTGGGGGTCAATGTCATTGGCCTGGTGATCGTGATGGTGGCCATCAACACATGGGGAGTTAGCCTCTTCCACTTGGACACTTTTCCAGCCTGGGCTAAGGTCAGTAACCTCACTGATCAGGCCTGACACAAGCGGGCACACAGCCCAGCCAGAGGAGCTACGAGCGCCGAACAGAATCTGACCAAGAAAGCCGCCAGGAGCACACAACCCCCACCAGAAGATTCCACAGCCTGCCACCTCAGGTGACGAGCAGGAAGCCCCCGATGCTGGGACGTTAGTGCCTTCTTCTCCGCCCTCCTTCCTCAGCACTGTAGTTCAGGAAAACCTAGCATCGTTCTCACGTCCTGTATCTTGGGCTCTCCAGGTCTTTCTGAGGACAGGAAGAGCAGAAAGGCTGACTTAGTCACCCCTCAGAGGCTCACTAAGCCTCACAAACTACCCTCACTGGCTTCCATGTTATTAATACTTAACCCCTTTTTAGGAGTTGGAGAAGAAATCAAATCATCCCACCTGTGTAGTCACAGCTCCTCTTTCGGAGGAAAATCTTCCCCTGGAACTTTCTCCTCAGAGTTTCTATCCTAAGTTCTCACCACAAAAAGGCGATCTTGGCAAGTCCTCTTTGTGGCGATCAGTACTCTTTTCTCACTACTCTGATTCCCTTCTAAGCAGCTCCCTTCAGTGGCTTCTCTTTACCCTTGGCACCAAATTCCCATAAAGAAATAGTGCCCCCCTTTAGAAAGAGGCTTGTACTGTTCTCTTTGTCCAAGGAAAAAGAAGTAGAGACAGAAGACACACTGAAATCAGTACAGGTATCCCCGGCTTTTCAAAAGTTCTGGTTTCGCCACTTTGCTTTTACAAAAGACTCACGTGAGTACCTGTTTTCGCTAACCGGAGGAAATCTGAAGAGGATTTTTGGATTTCCGAGAGGAGTCCAAGTAGTGTTCAGCAGTTTTGCGGCGAGCCCTTCGAGGGGCAGTGCGCAACCTGAGCAACTGGAGTGGTGCCGCTGGGCCGCCTCCCGGGGAACTGCACCCAGCGTCTCTGCACGGAGCTGCCAGAGCTGCGAGCTGCATCTGCGAGCGTCCGTGCTGTATGCCCGTTTACTTTGCACGCCTGTCAGCAAGAAGTTCCTAAGGTATCAGGGAAGCCTAGGAGAGGTTATTGCGGAGGTCTGGAAACGCTCAAACGTCTTTCCGTGTAAATTAATGGCAGTTGCCTCTTCGCTTTATGTCATTTTGGCTTATGGAAGGTTTCATAGGAATTCTCTACTTTTGGAGAGCGGGGGGGCACCTGTCTCTCTCTTCGCTTTCCACTAATCATCAATACCACTGCATTGGTTGAGTTGGGAGGGAGAAAAAACTTCCATACCTGTCTTATTAAAAAGGCCAAAACTATCATTAAGACCACAGTGCTATTAGCGATATCTGACTGGCTTTCTTTTGGATGTAATGAGTAGTTTGTTCTTGAGAAAGCAAGTACAGAAGGCCTCACACACCAGCCACTTCCTACAGGGAGCCCCTCGAGGGGAGAGACGTCTTACGTCTCTTCAAGTCCCCCGCAATTCATACAATATAGTAAACTAACTACTTAATAAATGTTTCCTGTGAGAAAAAATCACTTTGGAAATCAAGGCCTCCTTCTTCCTCTTGAAAAACCAGGCCGTTTTCTCCACGACAGATGTTCCTGCTCCATGACTGGATATAGCTCCCAATCCCCCTGGCTTGGAGACATTACATAGTTCTGATTTCTACCACCAGTTACTTGCTAAGTAGGTCTTACTGGAAAAGGTACACCCTAGAGCTGCTACATTGTTTTACTTGATTTTAAGTTATTACTGACAGCATGGGCGGTTTCCCCACAACAATAACTTATCAGTGAAGTCGCTCTCTTAGTTTATCAAGGGTCTGTGAATTATAACATTTCTTTTGTGCCGGTCAGCACTTGCGTGCTCTGACCACAACAAAACTGACAGGATTTAACCGCGGATATTACTGCTTCTTCTGCATCAATGAGCTTAGGCCACATTATGTGACTAGTGATGAAAATAAAGACCTCCTGAGCCCAAATAAAATCCCAGTGTAATATACGCTATGGCTGCTTTGATGGAATCTGCATAGTTCTCTTGCTATGAAATGTTCAGAAGAGGCAGGGTGTTAGCGTATCGTCATGGCTGCCAAAGTGTCAAATGTCGATTACAGAACTTGGACCCCAAGCCTCTAGGTCAGACAGTGAGAAAAAGGTGCAAATAATAAGATTCCAGGAGTATAAATAAGTGAAAAAAAAAAAAAAAGAGAAGGAAGCGTTGACTTAGAATTAAGCTGACCTGAATCATTGGCCACCATTGAGCGTTTGAGAACTGCACTCACTCCTAAAGGGGAAGCAGTGCCGCTCCCCACGGCAGATGCTGCCGGAAGCTTCCAGGAGCCAGTGCACTCGACTGGCCAGTTGAGAAAGAGCATTTATTTCAGTCTGCTCTACTGACCGTTCTGAAAAGCAGCACTGCTCTCTCCCAACACCAGAGATCAGGCCAACCAAGACTGCTCATTCCAGGGACAGGAAAGGTCAGAAACGACTCACGACACCTTGTCATCACTGATGGACACTAACTAAAGGCTCTCCTGAGTTGTCTCTTGCAAATATGTTACAATTTGACTTTTATCTTCTAACATCACAATGTTAAAAAGAAAGCAGTAAGTGACCACCTTATACCTGCTCCTTTGATAGATGACTGAGAAACAAAGACACTTCACTGCACCTTATTTTCAAGTCAATTATGTATCAAACTTGCCTAATTGCCTTTGGAAATTGCCTTTGAAATTCCTTTTAGTCACCCACGAAGGACATGGTACACAATCTTTTATGTTAGCATTTACATGGCAAAGACTCGTGAACCACCTTTTAGTAAAGAAAACACAGCTAGTTTTCCCTCCAACGTGAGAACAGATCTCTGTTTCTTCAGCTGCATACTAAATCACGTAGTTGGCTTCACACTTAGGGGCCACGTTTGAAAAAGTACATCTAAACACTAGAATCACTCTCAGTATATAGCAAGATGTTCAAACCGTTAGAACACAAAGGCGAGAGAGACCAAGTACACGTGTAACCCATCCTGTGGCTGCCCTCACTAAATGAATTCTTAGCACAACTGCCCAGCAATTTACATGGTGACTCTTTCTTGTCCTGATCTTTTACAATTGCACACGCAAAAATGATGCAACCACACGGCACCTTGCATAAGGCCTTACCACAGAGGCAACGATCCACATGGGCCCGCGACTCAGGTTTTGCAATGCCCCACCCTGTGCACCTTCCATAAAACCTCACCGTTCCGGTGTTTCCCAGTACCTTGTAAAAAAAATGTATTTGACGAAATATGGCACATGGAGATTCAGAAAAGGCGTAAACAAGAAAATCTGAGTGTCACGAGCTCCCCTATTACACCAGGCAAGATCTCCGAATATTTTCCCTTTGCCACCCTGTGGCCTTCCACAAGGCCCTAACGGTCAGTAGGGAAAAAAGCACTCATTCACGAGTAAGGAATGGAAATGCTACGTGCAAAGCCCAAGATGGGCAGTTTAAGAAAAAGCCTCATTTGCTCCAGGACAGTCTGTAGAGTTCCTTCAGGGGGACTAACAGAAAAAGCATTAAAAAGGCAGGAGACCTCAGCAGAAAAACAAACACCAGCCTTGTATCTAGGGACTGTACTCCGTGGAAATGAAAACATGCACGTGCACATATGCTCTGTGAACCCGTATGCACAGACAGCTAGAGAAACCACACGCTGTAACTTCCTCTACCGTCCTACAAATGGAAACTGAAAAAATGGGCCTACAAATGGGCTAGAAAAAATGAAATCGTTCCTCTAAATCAGCAGCAGGTCTCTGCTCAATTGCCTAAAACACCAAATCACTAGAGAAGTCCACTGAAGACATCAATGGCAACTTCAACTCCTGAAATATTTAACACCCCTTTTGATGATGTTAAATGAGGTTGTTTGGGTTTTTCTCTCCCTTTGTTTGGGAGGATTGTGGTTTAAGGATAAACTTGTCAGGTCCAATGTCTTTATGAAGTTCCCAACATCAACCCTGAAGTCATATTTTGCACACGTGAGTCATCTTCCTTTTACGATCAGGTAGGGCAAGAAGTTTTCCTAAGCCACGTTGACAGAGGAGTTTTCCGACATTTTTAAAAGGAGAAGACGAGTATGTCTTGCAGGGACTCTTCCCATCCCTCTGAGGGTGTGTGAGGCAAGAGTCCCTGCGTAACAACACTCAGGGAACGTGACTCTTGGTGCCACAATCACAGTAGCTGCACCCCTCACTCGCGTTGCAACGTTTCAACTACCCCCCAACACCTGTGATGGTTCTGGGCTCCTCCTCTATCTCAGTGAGGATAACCTTGCCTTTTCACTGCTCCAAGAACCTAACTAGAAGAGGGTATCTGAATGGGGAGCACAGAGGCAGCCGGTATTCACTGAGCAGCAGTTTCTATGGTGAAGGCAAATGCAGGAATGGATTTGCTGGATGGCTCCCCACCGGTAAGCAAGGGTAAGAGTCACTCCTGAGGGAAGCCCTAAATCCCAATGTGCTCGGTTTACAAGGCGTAATAGAGAGAGACCTAATCTCCTAACATTTAAGTTGCCCTTCTAAGCTTGTGGCATTTTGAACACCCTCAAAAGCAGTAAAACTTTATCCTTCGAGGCTGTATTTCATTCTGCTAAACAATTCAGTCATTCAAGATCAAATCTTACGAGCCAGGAAGTGTGATCAAGGTAGGTATTCTAGATTTTCATCAGCAACCAGGAGAGCGACCACAGAGTAATGACAAAGTCTGCATGGTTCATAAACTGGTTCCAAAAGCAACTGCAGAAAAATAAAGTACTGTGACCAAAAGCAGCGTTTGGGCCAGTATCTGTTATTTATTGGGCAATTTGCAAAGCACTGTGTAACACACCACGTACATTATCTTACCTGTTTCTCATGTGAGCGTATGAGGTAGATATTGCGTCCACATCTTACAGAGAATACAACAGTGTCAGAAAAATCAGATGCTTGTCCATGATCTCACTCCTAGGGTGAAGTCACACCATAATATGCTGTTTTCACGCCACCCGTATCACACGCCAGGACAAGCTGCCACGGATAAAACCCATACCCATGTACGAGAGATCCCCGTTTTCAAAGAGAAAACAGAACCTTTTGTCTTATAATCACGCAGTACCAATGTCATCACTGCCTGAATAAAGGTGTCTCTAAGTTACTCTTCCAGTTTACAGATTCTGCTAAAATTTCTTCAGAAATGGCATTATCAGTGAGCTGCCCAACAAGTCCCCTAAAACAAAGCACACAATCAAATGAGACTTTATCGTTAGGGTAAATTACACTTTTAGGAGTTAGCTTACAGCCATACTCCGCACAGATATGTATAATAACTTTAGGTTCAAGGTCATCACTATAACAGCAAAAGACAGGAACCCTAATGTTCATCAGTAACAGATTAAGTAAGTTATGGTATATCCATTCACTAGAATCTCATGGAGCCAAAGGAGGGAAACAGGTTCCTTGTTTCTTACATACTGATACGGAATGATCTCCATTTAAAAAATAAAATAAAATAAAATAAAATAAAATAAAATGGCCAGGGGTGAACTCAATACAGTTTATCATTTGTGTAAACCTCCCCTCCCTCCCTCACCACACACATGTATTTGTTTAGGCAAAGAATCTTCCTCAAAGTATACAGGAAACTTGACAGAGCCTGCCTCCAGCAAGAGGAACTAGTTGCTGATGGATAGGAGTGGGAGAAACTCTTTATTCTGAATCACATTTGTATCTTGACCCATGGGAAAAGTGAAGTATTCAAACATTTTCTTAACCAAAAAAAATGGACTAATTATACATTTGACAAATTACAATGGTGATTTCTTTCTTTTCTTTTTTTAAATTTTATTCTTTTTTTAACGTTTATTTATTTTTGAGACAGAGAGAGACAGAGCATGAATGGGGGGAAAGTCAGAGAGAGAGAGAGAGAGAGAGAGAGAGAGAGACAGAATCTGAAACAGGCTCCAGGCTCTGAGCGATCAGCACAGAGCCTGACGTGGGGCTCGAACTCATGGACCGTGAGATCATGACCTGAGCCGAAGTCGGACGCTTAACCGACTGAGCCACCCAGGCGCCCCTCTTTTCTTTTTTTTAAAGAGCAAGGGAGCAGCAGGCAGGACAGCAAAAGAGAGACTGTCCACCACAAGGCAATTGTGAGGGGCTATAGTCACAGTAGGGCGGAGTAAGGGAGTATGAGGACTGATGGAATTCTCCCTTCTTTGGTGATCCTTAGAACTGCGCCTAGCTGTACGTAGCCCATCGGTCAGTTAGGGCCTATGGCTTAATGAGCCCGTTTGTGTGCTCACTGTGGGCCCTCCTGCCTTGTTCAGGTTTCCACTGCCTGTAGCCGAAAAGCGGCCTTTATGCTCACCCCCCACCCCCATCAATAATGGAAATATTTAGCATTTGGGTGGAGGTTTCATCTTCAGTAGCTTCTCCCTGCTGAATGAGGAGCAGAGAGATGTCTCTATCAATGGGTCAACACACAATGGTGATTTTTTATTGCAGGGAGAAAAA